AAGTTAAATTACATGTGGTCTTACTTGGAAATGAGGTACATATTTTTGGGTAATATTAAAATGAGCTTCAAGTAGTTTTTTTTTTTTTTTTTTTTTTTTTTTTTTTTTTTTTTTTTTTTTTTTTGGCTGTTGTGGCATCTAATAGAAAATATAGTTTGATTTATTTTAACTCTTTCCTCCATTTTGAGATTATTCATTAATGTCGAATCTAACTGTTGGATTTAATCAAACCATTACATAAGATTATGTTTTGAATCGAAAAAAAAAATTATAATATATGGTAATTATAAAATTACTAAAATATGATGTGTAATTATTATTTGATCCACATATGGTCTACATATTTCAAAGAATTAGCTGATTTAACTAATATCGAAACAAATTCAATGGATTTTAATCCATAATTGAAATCCTTTTACTTGAAACTTTAATTTAAATCCAAAACAATCTGCATTTATTTTTTAACCCAAACAATAACCTACTATCCCCAAAAGTTATTCCAAATGATCTAATCGTCACCCAATGTATTCAATGTCCACTGTACTGTTCGAGTACATAAAATAAAAACATGCTATTAATTTTAGAGGGTGTTTGGTTTAATTTTTGAGAAGCCAAAAGATCTTTTAAAAAAAGATAGAAGCCAAAAAATGTTTGGCAAACCAATTTTAAAACCTACTTTTGTATTTTTGATAGAAGGAAAATCAACTTTTTTGGAAAAGTCAGGAAAACCTGACTTTTTGCAACTTTTCCAAAAAGGACTTTTGACCCTTAAAAAACTAAGTCAAACACCCCCTTAACATACAACTATAATATACTTTTCAATTTAACGAAAAACAACGTCATTCTATCCCTAACCCCTAATCAAAATATATTTTTTGTTTTAGCTTGAAAGTAAACAATTCACCGAAATGAATTAATAATCGTTCAAAAATTAATCATACCCGTCGTTTTGTGCGGGTAAACGATTAGTGTGTGTGAGTGTGTGTGTATATAATGAGAGAGAGAGAGAGAAAGAGAGAGAGAGATGGTATGTTTCAGTGCAGTTTGAACCTAAAACCGCACCGCAAAATGCTACTCTGCTCCTAAACTATTCATGAATCCATCTATGTCCCTGACGAGATTTGAACCCTCGACCTCAAGAATGGAGGACAACATCTAATATCATTGGGTTAGGAGTCATTTGGTCCGCATAATTCGGTTTAAACAATCCTAATTTTTTTTATTATGTGTTCCTTTTGTTTTGATTTGATTTGATTTATTTTTTTGAATTTGTTAATATTATTACATCCAATTATAGAAAGATTCTTTCATTGTTTTATATTTTTGAACTAGTTAATATTATTAGAGCTAATTATAGAAAGGTATGATCATTGTCGACCCTCTAATTAAGATTTCTATAAAAACACGTTTTTTATTGGAAAGGGAATTCTCTAATGAGGATTATGGGTCAATTTTCACGTATCGATTAATCATGCACTGCAAACATGATATGCCTTAGAGTCACTACAGACGAAACTCCATAACCACAGGGATTTAATAGTACCAGGATTTGAATATAAAAATACTTTTAAGCCTTTATAAAATAAATTTTTGTCTATTTTATTTCATCTTTTCTTCTCATATTATAAATTTTCAATGATTAATTAAATATGTTTGGCTCACGAAAAGTTGAAAGCCTTCCATTGCAATTTAATATTAAACAATGTTTTCTATTTTAATATATAATTTATTTAATCACTCTTTTATTATATTAACCTATTATTATATATAGATGTTTCAGTTATTTGATTTTCCTAATTTAAGTTTTCCTTTTGTCTTCTCTTATATGTTAATATATTAATTTTAGTTTTAAAGTTAATTATTATTTGATTAACAAATATTAGTAACTATTTTTTATTTAAAAAATATATAAGCATATGACATGTATTTTTATAGTCATGCAAAAATAAGTAAGAGATTCTCAAATCATCAACGCAAACAAATTTGGTTGAAAAGATTGGAAACCGATTTGGAGACAAAGAACACGAAGATTAATATTGTAATATTTGTTTTGTGATTCATGTTTTTGTAATATCTTAATATTTAGATATTTAATAAAGTAAACTAAATTTAATATTTATTATTATTTTTTTATTTCATACTTAAAAATACTATTTTAGTTATAAATATTAAAACTATGTTTATTTTCTATTGAGTAATTATTAATATTTAATATATAAGATATATGTTAAGAAAGATAAAGTAATTATTGATGTGGTAGTGGGATCACTTTTGAAAAATGAGTGACATTGCACTAATGTAAAAATAATTATCAAAACTGATGTGGCGTGTTTGAAAGATGAGTGATATTTCATTAATATGGATGATTTAAAAAGAGAATGTGAATCTCTTTTTGATTTGCTATAGTAGATGTTCACAAGTTATAATTATGTTTTTGTGGATTTGGGGTGCAAAGAGTTGATTTTGTGTGTTTTTTTATTTATTTATTTTTTTTTTACTTTTAACAAAAAAAAAAATATATTAGAAAATCAAGGTTTATCTTCTTTCTTGATTTTATTAGGATGGAGGAGTCGTGGTGTTTTGGCATTAGATAGGGTTGGTACGGTATTATTCTATGATATGACAAATTACAACTTAAAAGAAGTCAAGAAGTAGCCTTTAAACTACTATTTTCAAAAAAAAAAAAAAAAAAAAAAAAAAAAAAAAAAAAATTTATGGTTTATATAAATCACCTCAACCACTTCAAAAATCGTATCAATCTTCTATACTCTTTGTAATTCATTCTAACTTTCTTCAATTTCATTTAAACCCTCTCCAATTCCATTCTAACTTTTTTCTCTCTAGTTTCAAATGGATTCGATCCATGTTAAATCCAAAAAAATGGGTTATATTTGAAAAGATTTGCACTTCTTTCTTCATGTGCATGATCATTTGATGGGAGGTATGTTGAGTGCACTAACGTGCTCGCTCGCAAACGGAAACTAGCACAGATTCATGGCATGAGTATGAGAGTTGTAGAATTAGTTTAGCATTTCAATTGTCGTTTAAACATTTCAATTATTGTTTTTAGGTTTTAGCTATCCATTTGTAGTAGTGTGTGTTTTTAATGAAAATTTGTTAGTTTGGTTTTATTTATATAATTTTAAGTTATTAATGTTTTAATATTCATTTTCAAACAAAATCTGTGTGAGTTTGAAGTGTTGAATTTCCTATGCTGTGGGTTTTGTTGTGAATTAGGAGGGTTGAAAAACAAATAAATAAATAATTGATCCAAGGACTAGCAAAGAGGTTGGATGGGTTGAACGAGAATGATCCTACATCCTTTAAAAAGATGAAATTATTAGCAAGAAATTAATATAAATATAAAAGAGAAATTTCATCAAATAATCAAAGGGAATGGAGTGTTTGAACATTTTGACTATGAAAATTTGAGTTTATAGAATGATCAAGGGATCCGCAGAGGGGGTTATGCAGAAGCCTTTTACCTTCTGATGAATGTGAATAAGAACGAAGAATCGAGGTGACAGAGGAAAAAGACAAAAAAAAAAAAAAAAAAAAAAAAAACGGTTTGCTGCATACTTCCGCAGAAGGGGCTCTGCGGAAAGGTTGCTGAGGCTCTGCGAATCTGTTCTTATCAGCACACCTCTGAGGAACTGTTATTCGGCTAACCATGGCAAAAATTAGGATCACCTTACAATCAGCGTGTTATGCCCTTCGTCGACATCTCTTTTTCGTCTTCTTCCCTTCGTTCTGCAGCAAAGGCCCAACCTCCCTTCCAAAAATTGGTCACTTCCGCAACCAACATAGTGAAAACCTACTTTTTTTTGTGTGATTTTATAATTTTACCTCTTCCATCTTATTTCCGCAGAACTATTCACTTTCCTTATAAGTGGGGCTGTAAACGAACTGAACGTTCAGCAAACTGTTCGTGAACTGTTTGGCAGGAAGTTCGTTTATGTTCGTTTATTTAATAAATGAACGAACATGAACAAAAATTATCGTTCGTTTAGTTAAATGAACGAACATGAACAATGGTCACGTTCGTTCATTTATGTTCGTGAACGTTCGTTTATGATGTTCATTTACGTTCGTTTGTTTAAGTTTATTTATATTCGTCTATATTCAATTATTTTTTATTATATTGCTATATTATATTTTCGTTTATGTTCATATATGTTCAATTATGTTTTTTTATCTTTGTTTGTTTATGTTTGTTCGTTTATGTTCGTTTAGCATGTTCACGAATATAAATGAACAAACATGAACAAAGTAATTTGTTAAACGAATGAACATGAACAAGAAAATCTCGTTCGTTTATCCGTTCGTGTTCGTTTGTTGTTCGACTAACTTAAACGAACGAACATGAACAAGACCTTGTTCGTGTTCGTTTGGTTCGTTTACAGCCCTACTTATAAGGATTAAGCCGCAGAGCACTCTGCGGAAGTGATGTCCATTTACCAAAATTGATTTTTTTATGGTCAAAATCTTCAAATCCTTCATTCTCTATGGTTATTCGACGAACTTTCTCTATAAAACATCTAGAGTAAATTACACGAATGGTCCCCATGGTTTGGGTAATTTGCACGCTTGGTCTCTAACTTAGTTTTTTAACTCGGAAGGTTTTTACTGCTTGTTTTTATTATGCGTTTGATCCATACTGTTTGTTTTTGTTACGCGTTTGGTATCTATCTTACCTAATAGAGAAACATGATGGGATATGTAAGATAAGTTAGGGGGTGGGATTGGAGTGTGTTTATTTAAATAATTTAAAAAATCAAGGGAAAAATAGTTTTTTTAGATAAAACAGGGACCAAACTCATAACAAAAACAAACAGTAAGAACTTTTCAAGTTAAAAAAATAAGTTAGAGACCAAAAATATAAATTACCGTAAAACACAGGGACCATTCGTTTAATTTACTCAAAAATAAACTTTGCCTTTTGTGTTACTTATATTATCTTTCCAAAAACATGTTCGTTTGATAAACACCCACACATATCCCTAAACAAATAAAGGCTAAAACAAACTATTTTTATTGATAATATAACTGTTTCATTATTATATATACCGTAATAAATTGAATATCTGCTCGATATTTGCAGAACAAAATGGCAATTTATGGATAAACAAACGAAAAATAAGTTAACAAAAAAAAAACTTTAAACACAATTAAAATGGCATCCTCGCAATAACACACACCCATATATATGTCTTCCAATATATATATTTATATGTATTTTCTTTTGTAATTTTTAAGTTAACAAACAATACGTGTGATATTCGACTTTCACTTCCTTTCAACATACTCGGATTAATCAACAAGAGCAAGAAGATAACTTTTTCATCTCACTAATCTCCAAATCAGGTCCTCCATTAACGTCAATTTTCAAGCCTTTAAGCGTATTCAAAGAATCCCCATTTGATTTCCCAACATCATGTTCCAATGTCTTCTTCGAAACCACAGAATAGATTTCTTCTAAAAGCTTAAAGAAAGCAGCTTCCACATTGTCACCTGTAAGTGCGGAGGTTTCAAAGAAATACAACCCCTGATTTTCTGCAAATTCCATGGCGTCTTCTGAAGGAACTGCTCTTTTCTCTTCAAGATCAGCTTTGTTTCCTATCAAAGCAATAACAATGGTTTTATCTGCATGAACACGAAGCTCTTCAACCCATCTTGCAACATGATCGAATGATTCTCTTTTGCTGATGTCGTATACCAACATTGCCCCTAATGCTCCCCTGTAGTATGCACTTGTTACAGCTCGATATCTGTGTCATATTAACGGGATTAAAAAAAAAAGATAATTTAAGCAATTGGAAATTAATATTGTTTAAAGAATGAGATCGATGTATTGTGTGATTTTATCATTTTAATGTGAGATCTAATGGGGCCTAAAACAGGATGGCATGAAAGGCATATGCACATGCGATTGCTAGTTTGCTACATGATTATTGTTGTCTAATAATGTTTATATCATAACACTCATCTTGTCTCTCAATTATTTAACTTTCTATACATCTATAATCGAATCTAATATTATATGTAAAAAAAAAGGTTATTTTTGCAATAAAACCAATATATTTATATCCAATAAAACCATTTTATATTCCAATATTACCGGAATTAATGCTTCGTGATCAGTTTCTTTTAAAAAGAAATTGAGAATCATCCTTTATAAAGTCATTGTACATTTGTACTGGTTTTAATGGACATTTAAATGAAAATACATTATTATAATATAATCATAACTCATAACATAAAATGGTTTTAATCAACAAAAATACAACTTAATAATATTTTTGAGCATTAAAAAATAATAGTAATTAAATTGACGTATTTTCCCCCTTTTAAATGCAATGCAATCATTGTCCAACTCCTGTCTTTTTAAACCAATATATCGTCTCTCATTATTATTCGTATCTGGTCCTATGACACTTGGTCCATACAAATTTACTATTTAATTTGAATATATGTATTTGTTTTTTCTAGTTAACTTATTTATTAACTTGGATCTATTTGTTTTTTCTAAAGGAATATGATCTCTATATAGATTTGGCAATTATTGTTTTTCTACATTGGTCATGTGTTCGAACTAAAACAAAACTAAATAAGTCAACCGAGCTTATCAAATAATTGGTTATTGATATTTCAAGATTATATTTACCATATGTCCATGTTACTATACAACTGTATAGATACAAATTTGTATTCCTAAAATTTATCCAGAGATCCTGTAGTTGAATATATACTTGGATATAATAAAATGACAAATGGATAAAACGAATATTGTAATCGTTTTTAATACATTTCTAGCAATAATTATACAATATTACTGTAATGTGCAGCGAGGTATCGTAATCATGTATATATAGATAAGCATTTAATTTCAACTGAATTAAGTTGACGAATAAAAACAAAAAACTTTCTGATGTATATGAAAGCTACTGTAAACCGAAAAATATTACTAGATTGGTTATGTAAAATAGCATCATATTTTTTAATGATATCGCAAAAAATTACTACATATTGATTTTTTTATGGTTTTAGCCACTGTAAATGAAAATGCTCAATAAACACCTCAAGTTTTACAATTTTCCCTATGTCGACCCAAACAGGTTAAATTGGTTAAAACAGAAAAAATATGGATCACAAAATAATTTTTGTTCATATGGAACATTTTGACAACTTTTTCTATTCAATTAAAGCTGCTAACTTGACAACTTTTATATTGCGACATTTTAACATGTTCATGGTCAAATGTCGTCAAATGTTGATTGGCTTTAGTCGAAAACTTTTATTCATAAATCACAATAATTAAAGTGTAAAAATAATCAAAAATAGTGGTTTTTCTATATATTACCCGTATATTAAACAAATAATCAAAGATAAATATTAGTTACTTTCTCAAATTGGAAATTTTAATAAATACAAAATAAAACTATTACAAAACGTATGCAAACAAGAAAACATCATTTTCATGTTCTTTCTTGAAAACACAATTCGAGACGGAAATTTATCCAACAAAGTAACTCTCATGACACATTTCATTTAAAAAAACCAATAAACAAACGATATCATCATTATTGTTTCTTGCTTTCATTATATTTCTGTAAATACGAACAGTAGGACTTTCGCCGGAGCAACCGTGAGCTCAGAGGTGGCGTTTACAGTTTAACCGGAGAACAGAGAAACAGGAGAGAGGTTTGCTTACCTTTCTTGACCAGCAGTATCCCAGATCTGAGCTTTGATAACCTTCGACTGAATATTCAGTGTTCTCGTCTGAAACTCAACTCCGATCGTCGATTTCGAATCAAAAAAGAACTCATTTTTCGTAAACCTTGACAGCATCTGCGTCTTCCCCACCGCAGAATCACCAATCACCACCACTTTATACACATAATCTATCGTCTCATCGTCATTAATGTTCATCTCCTTCGAAATTCAGTAGGACTGAAAGAAACGACAGATGTGTGTTGTCTGTTTTGATCTTGAAACTGTTGTAGAGAAAGAAAGAGTAATCTGGATACTGTGTGTGTTATTGGAGTAAGTATGTGGTTTTTTTGGTGAAATGTTTGTTGTGTTAGGAGACAGGAGTAGTGGTATGGTGATATCCCTAATTCAGGCGAAATGCCCGCCAATACCAATTGACCAAATTGCCCCTTTTCTCCCAATTTGTTGTTTGTTAACTATTTATTAAAGGTTAAAGGGTTCTCATTTAGCAGCTTTTTTGGTTTGACAACCAAATTCGACAAGATTTTCATCATTTGTTTTCTAAAAATACATAAAATTATTAAAATACTTACACAAAACTTGCTGGTAATGGGAAGAATGATAGCTGAAAATTGATAGTTGTAGCTTTTATTATATAAGTATTTGTCAAAAAAAATAGTTGGAAATTTTAACATGTGTAATTTTTTACATAAAATGACATCTATCTAAAACCAACATGTGAAACCTAATAAATAAAAAAGACAATCCTGAAAATAAATTAAAAAAACTTAGTTACGTGAAATAATTGTTAGATTTTCTATAAACTAAAGGGTAAAAGATCGTATTGTAAAACAAAGCTTGTTGATTAAATCAAACATTTTTTAAAAAGCTAAAACTAGAAAATCTCAAATACTCCTTACCAAACATCTATTTATTCAAAATAATATTTTCTTACTTTAAATATAAATATCATATTTATATTTTTTTTTAACTTTCAAAACATCTTAATTGTTAAAATTCTATTTTTTTTAAATATTTTTTGATAATTTATAATCAAATTTTATATTTTATAATGATTATAGTTTAAAAAGAAGAATGTAGATCGATCATATTCCCTCTAAATATCAACAACTCTTTTGACTTTAAAATGAATTGACCAAATTGCCCTGATTATTGTAACCTTTTTGGAAACTCATCACACGTCGCCTAAACTTCGTTCCTTGGTTTTCCTTCTACTTTTGAAACAAACATAATTTAAGACCTCAAATAAGACACACACATTGATTCGTTTTCCTTCTACGTTGACTTCAGTCAAGCTACAAACGCATCTTTTCGGATTGTAATTTTCCCAAACTTCAACTTCACATCGAAAATACAAAATTGATAGTTGTAAGGTCCTTCTACATGATTAATTAATCATATTTTTATAGGTAACAAACTAGTATCATGTATTATATACATCATTTGCGGCAAAGTGGGCCCCCAAATCTAAATAAAATGGGTAAAATTTTGAGAAGGGCATATTGTCGGTGAGGATATAGGTTGAACAGTAGCCTAGATCAAGTATCCCCAGCCCTTCTGATGAGATGCCAATACATACAAGCCAAACAAATAAAGTGTTGGACTTGTAGACAAGAACCAAGAAGCATTCTGCAACAAATCATATGTTGTCACAACTTTTAAATATTATTAATGGACATCTAAAAGTGTCAAAAATTCCAAAAAAAAAAGGAACAATAAAGATAAAAACATGTGAACTGACATGAAAAATATTTTAAGAACATCAAAATGACATGATCAAAACATGGATTGATTGCTTAGGAGAAATTGAGAATAGAACATAATAATAAGAAAATAGTGAGAACTTTCTTGATTTGTTTGATACACAAGCTCCACACTCACTACAATTATCATATTCGGTTTTTACTTGTCTCCATTTTAAAGTACAAAAGCTCCATACTCACCGCATCATCTCCACCCATGAACACCCATGAAAAAGCTTACCGAAAGCAAGATTTCTAAAAGAAAACTCGAACTTACCCCACCGATAGTTCTAGATTCCGTTAATTTTGTTTTAGATCTTGTTTTTTTTTGGAGTTATGTTGACAAGGTTCGATGGTGGAGGAATTTTGGTGCAAGGTTAAGGTGATGTGTGATGGGTGATGGGCGATGGTGCGGTAGCTGATCAGATAGGGTGAGATGGTCTTCGGAGGTTCACGTCCCTCTACTTCCTCTTCCTTTGTCTCTCATTTTCCTAATCTATACACTCTCTGTGTTTTTTTTTTGGATTGATGGTAGAGGTGAGATCTATATGATTTTCCCTAAAATATTTATGAATTTACATAAGGGTTGATTACCTAAGAGGGTAACGAACTTTGGTTTTTGTCTATATTTACGTAAACAAGTTTTTTTCGTACACATTTGACCAGTAAGATATGTGCATAAAATGAATATATTTTAAGAACATCAAAATGAAATGATTAAGACATGGATTGATTGCTTAGTAGAAACTAAGAGTAAAAAATAATAAGAAAATTATGAGAGCTTTCTTCACTTGTTTGATATATAAGATCCATACTCACTACAATTATCATATTCGGTTATTCCATGTCTCCATCCAGAAATACATAAGTTCCACACTCACTGCATCATCTCCACCCAAGAACTATCATAAAAAAGATTACCGAAAGTAAGATTTCTAAAAGAAAACTCGAACTTACCCCACTGATAGTTCTAGATTCCATTAACTTTGTTTTAGATCTTGTTTTTCTGTGGGTTATGTTGCAGGGCTCGATGGTGGAGGAATAATGGTGCGAGATTAAGGTGACGTATGATGGGTAATGGACGATGGTGCGGAAACTGATCACATGGGATATAATGGTTGATAGAGCTCCGTCTACCTCTTTTTCCTCTTCCTCGTTCTCTCTTTTTCCTTATGTATACACTCCCTGTGTTTTGGATCGATGGGTAGGGGTGAGATTTTATATTATTTACCCTAAAATGTTTATGAATTGGCATAAGGGTTAATTACTTAAGAGGGTAACGAATTTTGATTTTTGTTCATATTTAGGTAACCATGTTTTTTTCGTATATGTTTTGACTAGTAAGTTTGTTTGACCTGTTCAAAATAGGATAATATTACTTGTAATTACCGATGATACTATGATATTATAAGCATGTCAAACAAGTTTACCGGTAAAGCATCTAAAAAAAACATGGTTACCTAAATGTGGACAAAAACCAAAGTTCGTTACCTAAAGAACTATTATGGAATGTATGTACTTTAGATTGGGATCGTAAATATTAGAGTAGGTGTTTTTAGCGAGCTCCCGAATTGATTCCAAATTGGCATCAAAGAACAAAACTGTTAAAACCTCCCCATGGACTGTATCTTGGGAGCAGGCTTCGATGATCAAGTTAGATTGATATGTATGAGAAGATGGTTTCTCCTGGGGTAGAGAGAATAATTTTGGTGGAGAAGAGTGTATGAATATAGTGGAGGTTCATGTCTGAGAATGATAGATTCTCCTCATGGAAGAGGAGGTAATCTATATATAAAGTTAGGTCAAGGGACAATTAGGCCAACCTTTGGGCCAGCCCAGTTTAGGCCCAGCTAGCCAAGGCTAGGATGTATTACCATGCAATATTATTAGGCGGTATCAAAGTTCTGAATGGCGTAAGGCGTGGCGTGGTGGCAAGGCCAAGTCTCAAGCTTAACGAGTCATGGCAAGCCATGACGTTTTTCAAGGCGTGATGTAAGGCAGCAACTTTGTATTAATTTATAATTATATTACCACATAAATATAAATTTATATTAAATATAACTACTTTTAAGAAGTGTTATATCAATAACTAATAACAAAAAGTTAACAAAAAACACAATAGTTGTATCCACAATTAGAAAAGACATAACAAAGAGCAAAAAAAACGTGTCTCAAATGAAAAAAAAAACACATACCATAACATGCCATGGCATACCGTATCATGCATTGTAAGGCGTCACGCCTAACAGTAACGTTATGAGGCTTTTCATAACAGCGAAGCCACGCCTCACATCTTCGCGTGCGCCATGGAGTGCCTTTTAGAACACTAGGCGGTATTGTCATGTGATGTTGCCAATCTACAATGCAGTGATGTCATGCAGTGTTGCTAATTAGTGTTGTTTAGGTCATGTCAATTAATCACCGCCCACAAAAACATACTAACAACATGAATACAAAAAATAAAATACACAAACCTATAAAGCGCACATTACATAATAGTTATTTAGGTAACAAACTTTGGTATATGTCCATATTTTTGTAACCATATTTTTTTCTTACATGGTTGACCAGTAAACGTGTTTGCCTTATTCATAATAATATAATATTACCGGTAATTACTAGCAATATTACTCTATTTGAACATGTCAAACAAGTAGATTGGTTAAATGTAACACACGAAATAAGGCCAAATCCTTCATTCTAGGGCTATAGGATCCTAAGCGTATACAATTTTTAAAGCATACACTTAGCAATTACTGATAACAATACATATTCCCAATATGGCATAGCATCCAATGCTTCCTAGGCTACAAGGCATCACATATCAAGCCAATCTATCATTAAATTCCTGAAATTATCATTAGCCTTATCCTAGCATGTAAACATTCATATCATATAACATATCAACATGTATGGGTACTTTAGGAATCATTTACTTGAGCTCGGATGATTACACGCATCACACCCCCTTTTTCTTTACAAAAATCTTTTCAGAAATTCGTTTTCTTTTAAAAGATTAACAATTCCTCAGTTTGAGTTCAACCACACTCGAGAGTGTGTCCGAATCCCTCAAACCAAGGCTCTGATACCAACTTGTAATGACCCAAAAATTATAAGGTAAAAATTTTATTTCTAACTAAACCAAAGACACCAATTATCTTTTTCCAAACAATCAAAAGTATATCATAATAAAAAAAAATTATCAGAGTACAATCTTAAAATCATCAAGTTGCGGAAACATGGGTGGATGCACTGCGATCAAGTCGAGCCCTTCCCTTTCAAACTGGAAGTACCTGAAACCATATCCATAAAACCGTAAGTACAAAGCTTAGTAATTTCCCTAAGATACCACATCATACATATCATACATGCATCGGGCCCCGCCCAACATCCATCAAGCCCCACCCGGTATTCATCGGGCCCCACCTGGTATATATTTGTCGATAGGACTCACCCAACACACTCATTAGATCCTGTTTTGCATCAGTCCCCGCCTGGTATACATACAAACACATATAACACATGCAAGAGTCACACACATAGCTAGCATACATATAACAATAATCCATAGGCCGGTATTGGTGCCTTCGACCCGCCAAAAACTGGAAGGAGACTCACCTCAATTCGAGATAACCGAGATATACGTGTTGTTGTTACTGGAAACCTCACACTAGTCATAACCAAATATCCTTAATCAATTAAGTTCAAAACCCAAAATCAAAGGTCTAATAAATATTTTTTCCAATGGGTAAAAGACCATTTTACCCTTCCCATATCTGGTCCAATAATCCATGGCCCAACCTCCAAAAGGCCCAAAATGAGCTTGTCGAGAGTACGACCCTCGTACTAGAAGCGTA